TTGGACCTTAATGTACTGGTTTCGGAGGTAGTTAGCCCTAGTAAGAGAAGAAAGAGAGGATATATCAGTCCTAAGGTCTTTGTTAAGGATACGGAATGCCAGCGTGATCACCCTTTTTCTTACAGTAAGATAGCGCGAGTACGTTTAACCGATATAATCGTTCCTCATACAGCAGATTTAGTAGGTCTGCCATAGGGTTGGTACCTACTCTGTGAATACGCCGGAGTATGTCAACATCCTTTTTGGCATGTACTGGCCGCCTGAGTTCAATATTCTAAGTAGGATCCTACGTAGGTAGAATCCAGTATACTGAACACATCTTGAAGGATCTTTGTGTGCACCACAAAACATGGAAGCCTTTTGTTTTAGCTGTATTACAGTGTGCCGAAGTTTCCAAACAATGCCACATAATGTCACCTCAATCTTTTAGTTCAAATACTGGGAGTAGTTTTGTGACTTCAATGGAATAGTAAAAACCATTACCATGACCAATGTACATTATTGCATTTTGGACCAACCTAGGAGTTCATCCAAATCTGCTTGAAGTGCATACCCATCAAAATGAATACGTATAGCTATCCAAACATTGACACCATTGGCGACTAGCAGCACCAAAAAGTTAAGTATCTGGGGTAATTCACTGACATAATACAAGAAAAGTAGGGAACCTAGGATTGTTCTTGAGGAACTTGACTCACCATAAATCTCCACTTGAACAGTGTTCCATTGACCCTAACTCTTTGCCTTCCATCGTACTAGAAGTCTTCAACTCAGGCTTGTGTCACCGCACTAAACTAGAAAGAGGAGAGCTTTCCTTGTAATCTTACATGAGACACTTTATTGAATGCCTTACTGAAGTCTTTGAACATGACGTCCATTAGCAGTTTGGAATCACAGCCTAAAAACCATTTCTTTGTCGTGATGTGAGGTTTTTTAAATTGAAGTTTCCAGTAAGAAGACCGCGTTACTGAGGTTACGCTTCTTACTAACTCATCAGGACCGGGGATTTTCCAGGTTTAAGATTAATGAGCAGTCAAAAGACTGTTTCCGTTTTTATGAGCACTGTGTCTACCAGTGGGACATCGCTAACTCTGCTATTGAGTACTTCGCCATCATGATCTACTGTGAATACTTAACTAGAGTGTTCCGTTAGGCATTCAGGTTTGGACAGATTAGATTCAGCCAGACTATCAGACCTTTCACCCCTCACAAGAGGAGGAATTTCACATGTTCTTTTAGTTCTTTTCCTAACTAATGCTAACATTTTATTTGGAAAGTTTGGAAAATCAATCATAAATTGTTTGTCGTAAGATATTCAAGACTGTGTAATCAAAGTTTTCACGTAAGACGGATTTCAAGGTACCTAGCTTAAATGATTCTAGTCCACTTTCTATAGATAAGTTTCACAAACGCCTTTTCCACTTTAATACTTTTGAACCTTTTTATTAAACCACTGGGCACGATTTGAGGATTGTCTTGGTTTTTACCACGGAATAAATGGCATTGCTGTCATTTAGAGTGGAGTTCTAAGCTTATCCTAGGCATTCTGGGTTGATGATTTTTTGTTGCTAGTCTAGAAATTACCACCTGCGCAATCCCTTATACCTCAGATATCCAGGTGAAGCAGTGTCGCATACGTTTGAAAACCGAAATTTAGCACAACATATTCACTGTTAGCTAACAGAGGGAAATATAGTAGACCCATAACATATTCACATTGGTGGGTTAAAACCGAACTGTGTTCAGAATCGTATTGTGTTGCACAGGTTACGTTTTGAACTAAAGCAGATGCTAGTCCTAACAGAATTAGGTCATTTTAGAAGTAACTTTTTGAGGCTAGGATTGTAAGCTTCTACCAGTTAATCTGTTGAGTTTTCAGATCTCCAACTGCTAGGCGTCTGTTGGTTCTACTTCAACTACGTTTATGAGGTAGAAGGAAATCGTTGACAGGGCAGGGTGGACTACAGCAAATTACTTTAATATGAAAGAAATTCGGCTTTGACTTAAGCTCACATTTGGCGAATTTGCAGGTACTGTATTAAGGTGCTAATAAAGTGACTGATAACATATCGATATCATCATGAACATATAATAGTATGTGGCTATCCTTGCGGCCCACACCAGATTTGACGATAGAAGGTCTGTCTACTCCTTACAAGTCTTCTGAATGCATTGACTGGGGAAGCAGACGTAACGTCTTTCAGGATTCTTTTCTTTGCCGATTACTTGCATCAAAACCAGTGCTATGTAAAGATAACGTTTGTCCTTTGATTTTGTGCTGTCCTGTTATATTTTTGAAGGGATTTTTATCTGGCAGGAAGGAAAGGGAAGATAGATGAAGTTCAAATTCATTTCCTGAAATCTGAAGCAGCATAAGTAAATCCCCTGTCTCTTCACAACAGAATAAAGAAAAAAGGCACATTTCTTGAAGCCATTTTTCGTAGGTCAGGATAGCCATCACAAGAATCATGCCAGCAGCTGTCCTACGAAATATTTTTATGAAGCCTGAGTCACCTTTCAAGCCACGGTTTGCCGTTTGCGCTTAGTCTTCTCGTTTTTATTTATCTAAGGACGTGCATAAGATGGTGAAAACATCACTACTTAATCATGTAGACAGTTTGCATAACGGCCAGTGTCCTAAGACCATGAGCTGCAACCAGTCGACAACACACTACGGCCTTCACCCCATGACTCAATGCGACTCTTCGGTCCATTTGAGCATAGCAATCACAAAAATATGGTGGGTATAGGTGTCTGTAGACCCTATTTCTCTTAGTTAATTGCGTCAAAATGCATCATTCATTTCTGTGACCAGGTTAACAGTTTGCTCAGGTTTGTTTAAAGTGTACGTACATCTTTACCATTCCTATTTCCTCGCCAGATTTTTATAACGTCAGTGTAGAGAACAATGGGGAATTTCTTTATACTCAGTAGTTCATTTGTGTATTAGACATAGCGGGGGACTCAACACTCTACCTTGCAGTGCTTCACTTCTTACCGAATTTCAAGGGGAGAGTTGGGAAATGATCTTTACTGTTTGTCTCCTACAGACAAGGACTTCTTTGATTCATGAAAGTAGATTGCAGAATTTCCGAAACTTTCTAATTTCATGATCGACCTGGAATGAGGTGCCCTTTCTAACGTTCTGCTTAAATTTGTGAAAATGACATCTACAGGTATTCGATCACTGAAGGACCCAATCCAAGTTACTGTGGCTGTGAAAAGCCTTGTCAAGCAAGTAAAACTTCTACGAAAGCCATGTTACGAAAGAGACAGTAAGGTACTGTTCTCTAGGTGAACTTTTTATAGCTCACTTAGTTACTCTTTCTAGGATTTTTACTACAGTACTAGTCGAAATCATAGATCCGTAATTTCATGGGTGCTGCCTAGAACCTGCCTTGTAGATAGGTTTGACCAGGGCGTCCTTCAAGTCATATGGGAGTTTGCATTCATTGAGGGAAGTTCTAAATATAGTAGTCAATATACCGACCACGTAGGGTGGAGGCTCTTTTAGCACCCTTAGGTTCCACTAATTTTTTCTACAGCCAGAGTACTTACTGTCCTAACTATTTATCTGCAGTGGATGCCCCCAGAGTTTATTCTGTTGTGTATCAATGCTTCTGTTATTGAAGTGGTGTCCATTGAAGGTTTTTCGGGCATGAATCTTAGCAGAATATCTTGCCATAGTCTCTCCTTTATCTCTATTTTCCCCAGTTAACTGGTTAGTTAGAATTCCGTAATTCGAGCGACAATACCATGGCACGTTTTATTCCTGTAATTCCCATGAGAAAATAGCCTTCCCAGGATACTACTGCAGCCTGAGTGAGATACGTTTCTGTGTATATTCAAAACTGGTGAATAATGGTGATACATATATTCATAGCCTCTTTGTAATGCTTGTTCGCCCTGGAATTACCGAGATCAGTGACAAAATTTCCATCGTGGTCGACTTTACAATTCGTCCTCGAAATTCAATACTTTCACACCTTTAAGATAGTCTGTGGAATAAACGGTTGAGTCACTCGTGGGTGAACGTGTTTAAAGCCTGATCTTGGGCTTCTAGACTGACTGTCTAGTTTTCTGAAGAGGTTGCCGCCATAACAACTCCCATTTTCACCTTCCATACAATGGGTCTATCTGGGCTGTCGGTTTGGCAAAATGCGGCTACTGCAAATCGAAAGATAATCACAGTATGATTGCTCTTACTAAGGAGTGTAAGGTTCTATATCAAGCCTACATTACTCAATTTACAGATTACTGGATTTAGAACCGACTAGATATGCTGATGATCCTATATGGTTGCTACCCTAATGTACTGGATAAGAGCCAAGGAAATTGATGTTTCCATTAGTATATAATCAAACAGATCATATGGCTCTTTTAGTGTTAGACTATCTCAGTCAACTGAAAATGCGTTTAAATCTCCAAAAGGCAGGCATCTGCACATATCTGTCGTGACAGACAGCATATTCACAAGGAAGTCTTCCACCCTTTTTTACTACAACTAAGTTAACATCATTTTCTTTGCATTTTAGTTGGTAACGTACCATTTCAAATTATTAATTTCTGCTAATTTCTGTCCTAGAAGAGAAAAAAGATTTGGTTTAGTAGTCTATCTGATGGCTAGCAGTGGAATCCAGGAGGCGCATTTCGTCTTATTTGAAACAACCTAAAATCTCTATATATTCATCTTCATCATCATAATTAGATTTTTGAACTAATCCGTATTTTTCTACACTGATACCAGTAATATTCAGAAAAAACTGTTGAACATAGCATTTTCAGGTGTATTCAACCAAGTATTTACTTGTTGGATTTTATTTGGTTTGACTATACCGAATTTTTTATGAAGGTCATCATGATATATAATGTAGTTATTTACTCAAGAAATCATCTTAATAAATTTGTTATGTTAATTATCACAATGCAACTTTCTTGTTATAATTATACTTGAATTCATTTCCACCTTTTAAGATATATTAAAAATTTTTTTTAGTGAAATGTCATCAAAATACTCTAAGAAATTAGAGAAATATCAATGGAAAAAAAGACGAATTCCAAATAATCCTTCTCGAACATGCACAGTTATTCCTAATGAATTTAGTAGAGATATACGAAAAGGGAGTACTTCAACTTCATCAAGTACCAGAGTAATGAATTCGACAAGTACAAATAAATTAAAATCTCATGTTCTGCTTAGTGAGTATTCATATTCATGATGATTTCTTGTAAAGAAACCATTTAATGACATTTTGAATGATTTTTAGTCAATTACACTGGTTCAGATCATATGACGATATACATACATTGAAATTTCACAAACTAGTACAGTATTGCTTTGGAAGCAAATTTATATTTAATCTATTAATACTGTATTTTTAGCTGTAGGCGAAAACAATTATTTTAAGAATTATTGTGGGAGTAAAACTTGGGTACTGTGGTAGATTGTAATTCCACTTTAATCTGTCAGACATAATGAAGAAACAGTATCATTTACTCGATAACGTTTCGGATGCAATTTAATGTCCATATTCATATCACGCAACTCCACAACTTTCACACAGAGATATATAATCATAATTCTCTCTCCTTCTCTGTGATGATAAGGCTAGTAGAATTTTTCATACATCTGGAACAGGTGCAGAATTATTTCAATTACTGCATGTATTAGCTGTGATTCGATGAACAAAGATTCACCTATTTATCTCTCCCTCCCTCAACCCAATTAAGTTAGCTTCCAATACTGTCGCCCTATCCCACCCACCGTGCTGTGTGATTGTGTGTAATTGCGTACAGAGCTACAGCCGAGCCACTCTCTAAATTTCGTATCTTATTACGATCTACTAATTTTGATTTAGCTAAGATTTTGTGCTCTGTTATTGTTATCGACCTTGGTAGACTGCTCGGACCTATGTATTTGACATCACAATTATTGCAATGGATATATAAACCAGAATATTTTACTTAATTGCATCGATAGGACTTTTTAACCTACAAAGCTTGTTTCTAAGCGAGTTTGTTGGTTAAAATGTCAGCCTTTTTAATCCCAGCAGTCTTATTGAAAATTCTTCGTAATGGTTTTGAGATGCATTTCTTGTATGTTAACACAGCAAGGCTTTGAATTCCCTCTCACCTGTCACCATTATTACCATCAGTAGTAGAATTATTATTGATAATACCCATGTTAATATCACTGTTACTACTGCTAATTAGACATACCAAGAACACCTTACGTTTCAATAATTATCTACCCACATTTATCAGTAAATTCATAAAAAATCAAAAAAAACATTAACAGTAGTACTACTACCGACTGAATTACCTATGGTCAATATATAAACTGACACCCACGTAGAAGGCATACTACTGACAACCACCATCTGTAAACAAATCAAGTGACATACTCATATAGTCAATAATAATGGGTGAGGTTAAAAGTTGTCTCCGGGTATTACAGTATTCTGTGTGAAATCAAGTATTTCCTATGTTTTGTATGCAAATATTTCAAAGTGAAAACTGCAATCACAAATCCTTTTTGTTACAGTTTAAAGGCTCAATTAACTTACTTTGATTTGTAAGCATCATTCTGCTTAAGTAAATGTATTTACATCTCAACTAGGAGGTGGAAGTACAATCAATACTTTACACATGAATAAACCGCATAAAAAACATGATTCAATGATAAAGGGAATTTTAGAAACTGTGGAAATTAGGCAAAATAGGCATATATCACACAGCGAATACGCTATTTAACGCGCAGAATGCTATATCCTACAGCAACCACAATAACACTTGAGGATAGCTTTTAGCCTCACCTCAAATCAAACAAATAATTTAGCTTCTGTTGACTATATGTTGGGTAAAGTGTCAACAATAATGTATTTAAATTATCATAAATGGTGTAGCCAGTTATTTGTTCATTTATTCTTGGAACATAAAGATTATTTTGCAAAAAGGTTTACCATGTTTTAGAATAGCAATATTAATATTATATATCTGGACAACGGATTTGGGCATACTACTTTTCCTGTCATGATTACACCGTTACTACTAATGTTGTTTCCTTTAAACATATTTTACCAATGCACTCTAACAATAAAATCTTATCATGATTACTTTTAATTGAAGGTATTGTTGAAGGAAGAGGTCAATCGAATGGTGAAATTGGCATAGCTACAATTGACATATATAGTGCTAATGTTGAATTATCTCAATTCAGAGATACAAGTAGCTATAGTAGAACACTTGTGAAACTGCTGGTATACTATCCTGCTGAGGTAAATTTTCAAGTTCCATACATAAAATCATCAGACCTATGCTACTTATATATATATATATATATATATATATATATATATATATATATATATATATATATCTTCAACTGTTACTATGAAAGGAGTACAAATTAGTCGTATTATCCTAATCCTACCTGCTTAAACTCATAGCTATGTAATGGGTTACAGAGGGTCATTCTTCGAAGTACTGACAGCCGGTAGTGTCCACCAACGATATCTATTCTTACCATAAATATTCAACTTTGTTGCATATGTGCTGATTTATATAACTGTGTGTACTCCTAACACCTCAAGTAATGATTCCCTTCTTTTAGCTCACCCATTTAACCTAGAATATTTAGATAATGTGTTGTTGTTAGGCAAAGACGTTGACGAGATGTACTGTCCTCCGTAGGCCTTAAGCATATTTGGCATACATTTAGCACCTGCAGAATATAAGATGTGCTCTAGGACTGGTGTGTACTGACTCATAGGTATAGGGAGTTGATTGGTGAAATGCGTTGGTAGAATCACTTATTAAGGGAGTTCCGTCAGCCATAATGGATTAGTTGCTGAATGAACTTCAATTCAGATATAAAGGTTAGTGTGGTATTTACCGACCTACGCCATCTATGACGCTAGCTAGGCATCCGACTGCTGAAAATAGAAGGAAACAGGAGGGTGCAGGCTTCTGATATTATACTTATTGTCGTATCATTCAGTTAGCCAGACAACATTAACATGGGACCTAGTTTCACTACGGTACCGTCCAATATGTTCCATCTCATGTCAGCTCAGCAAGGGAGAATTAACCAAGATGAAATACAGAAGAAAAAGAAAGAGGCGTGTTACAATGTGGCTAGTTTATACTGTTGTGTTCTTTTCAAGTGTTATTCATTCTGTTACTTTGTTTAGTGGATCTGAATTCGGCATAATTGTGCTTTCAGTGACTGGTGAACTATAGGTTCATAAAAGGATTAGGGATGAATTGAAAAAGAAACGAATTGTGGGTGATTTACTCAAACAATTCTTGACAAGTAAATATTGACAACTTGTATATTAGGAAAAATAATTTGAGAGTTTGTGGGGATTTAGAGATATTTCAGGTTGGTTTTCATCACGGACGGACATCAGTTAGAGGAACATTGGGAACATGAGAGCACCGTACAGCTGTTTTGTCGTAGTGTGGGACTTCTCGACAGTGCGCACCCATCATCCCTCCCTCCAGCTATCGAACACAGCACCTTCACCTTCCGTGGCCGTCACGTTACCATTCGACCAATGGATCGGCAGAAACAAATCGTCCATATTTCCAACTTCTGTCAATTCACTACATAGCGCGACCATCACACAATGTTATCATTGAGTAGTTGTCTTCACGACCACTAGATTTGCCGCAGTGGTCACGACTTGTCATCGGCACTTCAGCAATCATCTCTTGACGCTAGTCACCAATGAGCACTAGCTCAACCCTCGAATTCAACTAAACATCAACAGACTACTTTTACTCAGAGAAGCACAGTTACGAGGTTTAAAAGCAAGCCTACCATTTACACCGAACAGTTTAATGCTGAATGTCTCTCTTTTTGAAATGCGGTAAAATATGAATTCTGAATAAAGACAATTCAAAGCTAAAGTTATACGCAGCGATCTCACCTTATTCGCATCATACCTTAAAACAGTATTAACCAGTTGGAATGTATGTTTTTAAGGCAATTCATTATAAAAGTCTGTTCCAGTTACTTGGAACATTGCAAAAGCAACTTATCAATAGTTTTTAAAAATAAATATGAAAAGTTATAAATTGTAGTTCAGGAGGATAATTTTGATGATGTTGTGTTCTCTCAAGTGGATTACTCAATCGTGGAGCTTTCATTTTCATCCTAGACAACATCATCAGCAAAGACTTCAGAAAGATTTGAGCGATAAGTGTTTTCTCTTTGAGTAGATTAGTAATTTGTTCAGATGGTCGTGTATGTGATTGTCTGTTTTCTGTCAAGATCTTGTAGTTGTCTCCATATTTATTTGAGTTGGTTGTACTGCTGAAGTAACCTTCGACCTTCATGTTGTTTCTTATTGGTTTATAAATTGGATCTATCTCAATATGTAGGTTGATTGCTGACTGATCTGAATTCTAAGGTTCTAAAAATTCTCTGATATTCTTAGTATTTTCTCTATCCAGTTAAGATTTTCACATTTTCCCAGTCAAATTTATGTCCACAGTTGTCTGTTTTCATTGATATGAACGAAGATATGTCATGATGCTTCACTGCTAATTCATGTTCATTGAGGTGGATGCGAAGAGGCCGACCACTGTGTCCAATATACGTCTTTCAAAGTTTCTCCAGTTTATTTCATAGATAATATTTGGTTTGTTTTCTTTTGACATTGTATCTTTTGGTCAACATAACAAAGATTGAAGAGATTTTGTGAGTTTGTGAGACACAATGATTCCAAAAGGCTTCATTAATAACCACAAAAACTAACAAATGGCTTGTTTTGCCTTACATAAAGAACGTCTCTGAGATCATGACTGGATTATTAGGTTGGTATTGGATATCAATTTTTAAAACAATATTTCATTCATATCCAATCCTATGAGGTTAACTGAAGAGATGTTTGAGAACAATTCTCTATTATGCTGTTAAACTATGCTTACACTAATTGCTGAAGGTCTATGCAAAAATCAAATGTCTAAGTTATCTAATGAATAAGTCTTTTTTTCATAAACTATGCACTTATGAGTTATACAGAGGTAAAAAACTTCTTATTCCTTTCAAAATGCTTCAGATACTTCTTCCTCGATCTGGTTTGGAACCAAACAGCTGTATGAGAAAGCTTGTAAAACTCCTTCAATCGTTACATAGTGGAGCAACTTTAAATGGTGTTAACAGAAACCATTTCAACGATAAACAAGGTGAGTTGTTACACTAAAGATGTTAGTCTTCGCTTTATCTGTATTGCATCAGGTGGTCAGAGAGATGTATCAAGGGTAATTTCATACAATCTTATACTTAATACACTTTATTCCTTTCAAACTACTTAATCTTCTTTACTAAGTGGTTGAGATGCAAATTCTTAGAGTTAAGTTGAAGTTTTTACAGGTTTCGAAGAAAAGTTACTCATTACAGATTTGTTGTTAAGTTAACACATAACAAGGTCACTCATCAATGTTTATAACTCACAAAGTTAAAAGATTACAGCAATATCAGCAAACAACTTTCTTTTCATCATTTGTATTGAAATACATTTGTACTGGGTGATGATTGAAGGTGGAATGAAAATTTGAACCACGACCGGATTCGAACTAGTGACCACTGGGTTTACCACCTGATGCTCTTTCTTCAATCATCACCCATACTAGTCTGACAAACCACGGTTATCTCAGATAATCAAAATGAAATATATTTGTTTATTTTGACCAATATCAAATAAAAATGGTAATCGGTTACCTTATCTAAGTTAAGATTTCATGGTCGTAATCTATGAGTTTAAAAATGAGTCTACCCGGTTAATATATTAAGCTTTGGTCGTGATTTGGATTCAGTCTAGTTGAAAACTTTCGGGTGTGTGTTATATGCTGTAGCATACTTAAGGAAAGGATGTCCTACATAACTGTAAATGATACTAGTAATGTAAGATTGGGTATAACAACCAAAGTTTACTGTAATCATTTGTCTATTTATTGTTAACGTTTGTATGTTTTGCCCCATTTGTTACCAGTGTCAGTTCGACCTTTCTAATTTATTGAAACTGTTGAATACCAATTTAGTTATTACTTAAACAGTTAGTGAATTTGTAGAAATGGTGTGTTGTTGTATCATTTTCTGATTAGAATCGTAATTTTATAGTAAAGCAATAATGTTAGTGTCAAAACTAACCTAAGAATCATAAAACTAAAAAATCTACGCTAACCACTTAGATGTATATAATGACAATAAAACTAATTCATTTGCTATTATGGTAAAAGATGAAAACGAAATTGCTAGACCTCTGTTGCAGATAGGCTCCTGTGAGGATGCATCGATATTGCCTAGCTACTCAGTATCATATAATAGGATAGGTTGCTCGCACTGAAATCCAGTGTGTGCGTTTCGTCCTATTCGGGACTCATCAGCTGGATGCACCTGCACCTCAGTGAGTGATAATGTTCCAATAGAGACTCGAACGTCGTACCCATCGCTTTGAACGCCAAGCGTTAGCCACTAGGCCACTAATGTCAGGGGACCACATCTCGTGCAATGGGTATCTGGTGTTGTTTGAGACTTATAATCTCCCGTTGTCAAACTAGGTCGAATCACTCGTCCTCTGTTGGTGGCCTGGATTCTGCTTCTGGCCACCAAGTAAACTATAACACAATACATATTCAGGCAATATCATGGCATCCGCATAGCAGCCCATATGCCAACGGTGGTTGATCGATTTGATCCAGTATATCAACGGAGAATTACGAGTATATCAATAAATAGTAATAACTAATAACCGTTGTATAAGAAGTGGTTGTTGTGCAACTGTGGCATAGTGGGTAAATCCTTGGCGTTTGAAACGACTGGTACAAGGTTCGAGTCCCAATGGAAACATCACTCCTACCGGGGTGCAGGTAGATCTAGCTGACTAGTCTTAAATAAGACGAAACGTGCGTTCTGGATTCCATTGTTGTCCACCATGCAGATTACAACACGATGTAAATGAAAGGTTGTAAAAGCGGCAAGGAGTTTCAAACACTATAATCTGTGGTCTTTTTGTTTATCTGAATATTCATTTCAGTTGAAAAGTGTGTTTTTAATTTATTGTTCAATATGAGATGGAATAGTTTGTCCTGAATGATATCGTAACTCTTATCACGGGAATATCAATTCTTCGAAAATTAATTATCCCCTTTTTTCAGCGGTTTTTGTAGATTTCTATTTCATTCTTTGTATCTAATCAAGGTTTACATTATTTAAGAAGATTATGTCATCCCCAGTATATTCCTTCGATATATGCTATTAAAGAGAAGTAAGTAGAATTTTTATCCACTTTTCGGATTTGTCATAACTTGAGGTTAAAGATACAGTACTGTTTGTTTTATAAAAGATAAATGATACTAATAGGTTCACTAACATCCAGACAGAGAGACAGACAAAATTAACGTAGAACCTCGTATGCAGGTACATCGGCTCAAGTTGCTACACATTACAGTAGTACACAAAAACAAGTAGGTAGAAGAAGACTGGTGTCAAAGTATGCAAAGTTCTGTGACAGAATAAACAATCTCAACATGTTATTGAAAACATAAAACCTTTCGAAGACACCAAGGAGTAAATACATCTGCCCCAATGTGATCGATTGTCAGCCATTTCACCAACAGTCCCCAACTACTCCATTTTAGTCTGTTTATTATAAGTATGACACAGTGAAACAGTAGCATTTACTGGATAACGTTTCGGACACAATTTATTGTCCATATTCATATGGATAATCGACCACAGTGCCCAAGTTTTACACTTATATTAGACCTCAACTACTGATTCCTGCAGTGTCTATGACTGCGGCCATACAGTCTACATCTCCCAACAATGCGAAACTCATAGACTGGTGCCACTTCCTTGGTTTGACCACCCTGAACCCTCTTCCAACCTAATCCGAATTCCGTTAACATGGCACTTTGAGGTAGGTGGTGAATTGGCATACGCAATACAAGTTCAAGCCATCCTAGTAAGTGAAAGTTATTAACCTCATCAGTTGATTCACCTGTCTTGCCTAGCACCCTTCGTCTGACCTAAACACTGCTGACATGGTGATTCCATCAAACACAACCAATACAAAGAAGATATGTATGATCAAACCTCAGTAATCGCTTCATGCCTTCTACTTTAAACGGCCATGTCTAACAGCCGTACGACAAGACAGAATGGACTGCAGAGCTGTATATGCGTTTCACCAGCGTCACAAGCGATTTGTTGGTTAGTGCTTTCTTCAGGCACTTTGGCTTAACACGTCTTTGGATTTTTGAGAATAGAACATATTGTGCTTGTTCATTTGAGAGAAAATTCATATATTTAGTGAATCAGTCACCAGTTTGAGAATGAATTAACCACTACATCGGAATTTTAAAACCTTCAAAGTCAGAAATCTGGTTTACATACCGGCGAAACTTAAAGAAGTGTTGTTCAGTGAAAGAGATTTTGAATGAAGATGTCGTTTGTAGTTTCGTCCTTCAGTTTCTATTGTAGGCGTTGAACTTAAACTGTGGTCTATCATCAACTTCTTTGAAGGCTTTCAACCTGATTTTGAAGGTAGATTCCTTGCACTAGATAGTGAGGGGTGTGAACCTGCATCTGCTCCCCTTGGTGTTCTTGTGTCCAGTAGGCTGCGTCTCCACTTTCTTGAGATTGAGATGAAGTCAATCTGATTTTTATTAAGTCATGGTGTGTGGTGAAGTTCATATCGCTTTTTGAATATCCTTGTTTTTGTACACACTGCCTCCAGTCACCAAATCATTTAATGCGCAGAAATCTGCAAACAGTTGTCCATTCTCGTTCATTTCACCAAGTGCTTCTTGACCCATGATTGGTTCTCTTTATTTGTTGTCTGCTCCCAGTTTGGCATTCATGTCACCCATTAGAATTTCGATGTCGCCAACTGACGTCTTGTCCAGTGTTGATTGAAGTTGTCTGTAGAATTCCTCCTTTTTCTCTTGCTCTGCATTATTTGTAGGTGCATAGCATTGTATGATTGTGACCTTCCTTCCTTTTGAGTTGAACCTTGCTGTTATGATCCTGGAGGAGATTGGTTCCCACTGCATGAGAACCTTCGATGCTTTTGGGGACATCATGATAGCCACTCTGTAATCAGTGTGCTCGTGGTTGGCGTCTGGGTGACCGGAGTAGATTATTGACTCTTCACTTAAGAGTTTGGAGAGTCCACCTCTATTCCATCTGCTTTCGCAGATTCCTATAACTTCCATGTTATACCTTCTCATCTCTTTTGTAATCTGAGCAGCTTTGCCAGGTGCGGACATTCCATGTCCCCATCTTACTTTGCTTTCATCGAGAGAAGCGAAGACACATTGGCCAATTGGTTTCCCGAAGGCTTTCACCAACCGGTGTCATTTCGTCTCTCTGATTTCAGCGAGGAATAAGTTTATTTTGTTTTTTATATTTACCTTGTACTTTGAAGTTTTTTTAGCGATTGGATTGGTTTTATAGCGGGTAGGGTTGCTAGCTGTATGCTCAACCTTCCTTCTTTATCCGGGCTTATGACCGACTAGTAACTAGTGTACTAGCTAATTAGGCGAGGTTAATTGAGAACTATAGGTATAAGGGATTTCGTTAACGCTTTATTCAAAAAAATGTTTCTTATTCTTTTTTTAACTGCATAAATAGGGTACTTCTCAAATAACTCAAATTTTCACTGTGCCCTATTCTCATATAAAACGACTGATTTAATTCTTCGAATGAGATTTCATGTACAGTAGTCTATACATGAATATTCATGGGATGGATACAATTCACAGTTTGTTAAGAGAACTACTGAGTACTACTACTACTACTACTACTACTAATAATAATAATAATAATAATAATAATAATAATAATAAATCTTTGTTAAATATATTCAGTGAATAAATGAACTCGAAGATATACAGTGATATAATCCTGATACTGTTTTATAGTAAGGCTTTTATTCTTTTACTTCAGTTTTCAATACAAAACATGAAACGTTTTTTTCTTAATATTTCAGATTCTATGCTCTTTCAGCATTATCAGGATTGTTAAATTATGCTGAAGAAATCCATGGACTTATTTATGCTCCAAAATCAATGAAATTTTCATTCACTGGATCTGTTAAATCCACTATGATTGGTAAATAGAAGCATTGACTTTATTCTTTTTGTAGTCTGATATTGTAATTTTATTATTTAAGTGTATTGAAAAGTAATTTTATCTTTGATAAAATTGTACATACTGGATAAAATGTGTTTAAAGTACTATATCTGGAAACTTAGGTGATATACGGCATAAAAAATGAGTGAGGTTGGATACTTCAATGTTCCATGGGCACTTGTAAAATGCCTTACAGCTAGTTAGCTGGGTTCATAGTGGAACATAGGGCTTCAGTGACACGTCACCATTACACTCTCTCCTCTGCAGTCTTTTTAACCTGGCTCCCCACCGCCAATAAGCTTTCATTTCTTCCTCACATGATCTCCTCCATGTTACCGTCGGACACCCAACTCGCCGTTTCGTATTTAGCTTCCACTCGACTGCCCGGCCTAGTGCATGATGTCTCCAAACCGTCTTCTCAGTGTATGTCCAATCCAATCCATTTCCACTTTCTTCTTGTGCATACTAGTTGGGTGATAGGTTGTTGGTTGGTTCGTTGCCAGCCAGAGTTTGTTGTTGCTTATTCTTATTATTCTGGACATCTCATCTCTATATTCAGTACCGAGTGAGCGTAGGCGACAGCTGTTCATGTATGTCTACAGTCTGCTGGAAATGCTTTTCGTAACGTGCAAGTTTCTGAAACATATAGAAGCACTGACTTGACATTGGTGTTCAAAACCCAGATCTTGTTCACGCTTTATGCTGAGTGCAGTATATCTCAGCACTGATTATTTCAAGTTAATGCAGGAAGGTCTTTCTTTCCTATCCTGGCTTTAACATCCTCATCTGTTCCTGTCCTGCCTGTGGTTGAAACGATGCTGCCTGGGTAGGTAGGTGAAAGAGACAACTTCGCTTAGATTTCTGCCTTTGATGGTGATTGATGGTTGTTATTGTTGGTTGGGTATCTTCATCATCTCTGTCTTCTCTGCGTTCACCTGAAGAAAGCCGCGTCTTCGCTGCCCTGCCTCTTCTGTCAACTTGTTAGTTTTCGCCTGTACACCTTCGAGTTTGCCAGACATTTGATATAAATCATCTGCGAAATCCAAATGTTCTAGGGTCTTTCCCCCGGTCCAGAGTATCCCTCTGTCTTCGCTCCTTACGGTTTGCTGTATGACCCAGTCCACTGCAATCAGGAAGATCATGGGCGGTAGTAGGCAGCCTTGTCTTACTCCTGTCCTCTGTCTTCACTTCATAGGCATCACTGAGCTTTCCATTGTGAATTACCTGGCATGTGGCGTCGTCATATACCTATTGAATGAGTTTGATAAAGGTTTGTGGCACTTGAACCGTAGTGTTGAGGCAGCTGCTAAATTACTTGTCGGTCAATGCTGTCGAAAACCTTTTCAAAGTCGATGAAGTTGAGGTAGAGAGTTGACTGCCATTATATAGAGACATTATTAGCTATAGTTTATCTCGTTCATTGCTAACAAACATGGAATATCATATAGGAAATCATGAAAAGTGAACACAGAATTTATCAATAAAAATGATCTTTACAATATCTAGACTATTTGACAAAATGTGAACTATTTGCTTTCTAAAATTAGCTTATTTGAATCTGCTTTTTTATGCCGGCAAACAACTCAATGGTGAACGATTGATTTTTACTAAAACTATAATACTCACACTTGTAAAAAGTAGTGTTCAGTGTAGGTGGTTTCTGTTTCTGTTCTGTGATATAAATTTCAGTGATTACTTGTTTTTCTTTAAAATACATTTTTACATTTATTCTGGATAATTTCTTAAAAGATGTCAAAAGTGCGAAACATCTACATCTGGTTAAAAATAGTTATGACTATTCAGCAAAGGATACATTATATGCAGCACTAGATTTCACATGTACTGCCAGTGGTGCTCGTCTACTACGTACTAACCTGTTGGAACCTCCATGTGGTAAGTCATTTGTTAATGTGCACTTTAATAGAAGGATTAGAGATAAACTCAGCGATTTTATAATTATTATTTCTACTAATGTCATCACAGGTTAAATTGTGTATGTCCTGATAAATTTTGCTGTTTGTTAAGATTGGTGTTTATAGGGTTTTTTCAGACACCATCGAGCTTGTATATTTAGAAGGAAGTCAAGTCGGCATATTCTCCATCAGTACGTATAGAAACACTTAGCTAAGAACAGGAACGAGACATGTATCAACGATGAAGAAGCATTTCTTTTCAGCGACTCCATTATCAAGCTGTATAGTCTTATTTATAATCGGTAAACTGATAGATAATTGAACCAAAAAGTTACCCAGTCAATAAGCAAAATGTACAATAGGTGTTGGTGGTAGGATTCGTTCAAGTAGAAGAAATAGAAAATGGGTCACTGAATAAGAAAGCGAAATGATAACTTGTGGTGAGATAAGGGACAAGTGCTGTCGATGAAATAAAAAATGATGGTGATAATGATAATCAAAGAGAAGTATACCGAAGTGAAGGGAAATGAAATTAACAAGACAACCAAAATAAATTGTTATGGGCAAGGTAGAGAAAGTGGTTTCACGAAACGTTTTTGAATGCAAAGGTTCGATTTTTGTTCATGTATAGCTAATGCTTCAGCCTCATCAACATATGGATGAAGTTGTTTCTCTTCATCCGCCTTTGGTTAGCCAAACTGGGTAATGTTCAGCTAAGCGTTTTCAGAGGGCCAGCTTACAACATCCAGTATAAATAGCTCTATTTACACATAAATTTGGACATAAATGGTAGCCTATCCTTCACGTATTGTCAAATCAGACGATGGCCGGAAAAAAATCAATCTTATTCTGATAGCATAAAACGTACTACTGATACACTTTAAAAGAAGGCTTTTCAGCACTTTGGCTGTGGTATCGCCTTTGAATTCCAGATTCATGGTTAAAATTTTCTCAGGAACTGTAGTAAGATGAAAAGTGATTCGTTTCTTCAGGTTTTTATTAATAAATCTTCTAGAGTATCCCTTATTCGATAGTGTTGTTCTTAGAGTTTCGATTTCAACGTCCACCGTGTCTTCTGAACAGATTTTATATCTTCTGGAACATGGCTAGTGGATGAGATTCGTTTTAGAACTAAGAAGTTCTCAACTATTAAAGTTAGTGAACTGGCCCGTCCAAGTTGGTTTTGTGATAGACTGACCTATGAATCGAGCTATCATCCCGTCTATTTAACATAACGTCTAAAAAGTTGAATATTGAATTAAACTCTTCTTCTTCAATAAATTTAATGGGCAAGTAACAATCTCTGAAATATCTTAGCAGCTCGTCCACTGAACATGTTTCGTCATAGATAAGAAAAGTATCATCAATGTATCTTTTATACAAATAAAGTTCTAAGATTATTTCTTTAAATGGCCCATTTTCAAGCTTTGTTATAAAGATATCAGCTCAGTTGGTGATAAGAAGGCTATGGGTTAACATTTCTTTTATTGGTTACTTTATCCATGAAAATATGGTTTCTTTCATCGTTGTTCATTGTATAAATACCAATAAGTTCTTGTACTGGTTTTCTAATTTTTCTTCGGTCACTCATTTTAGAAGTGATATTGTAGTAGGCGTTGCTGCTTAGAATGGATATAAATAGTATATGTTGAGAGGGTGGCAGAAATCATAGGGAATTACCAGTGAAACTCAAGAGAAAAGGCAGGTGTATGAAGAGCAAATCAAGGTAGAAGGAAGCAGAAAAAGAAATGAAGCACATTTTTCAAATGATGGTTTTAACAACTACTGTCCTACTTGTTGACAATAAACACCCCTTCCTTCATACCTGTTTTCTTGCTTCTTTCACTATGTCACTTGGTGGTGTTGAACAATTTTTTGTATACTCTTCCTCCTTTTATACATTCACCGAGTTTTTAGAACAAATGATAAATTTAATGAGTTGCTTTATTATTTTGCTGCTGAATGTATGGCAAAGTAGGAGACTGAATGAAGGGTTATGGAGATAAAATTGCGATTATGCAACACCGGATAAACCTATGACAGAGTATGAGAATAAACAGGGAATCATGAAAATAAGATTCTAATTACTTAATACAGGTTCAGTCTATGACATAGTAGAAAAATGAATAAGGTATACATGTGTAGTTACCTGATACAAAGTGAATCTGTGGCAGACAGAGCTTTATGATGGCCATGGCCATCATAAAGGTAACTATACATGTATACCTTACCCATTTTCCTACTGTGTCACAGATCTAGCCTGTATTACGTAACTACAACCTTATTTTCATAATATCCTGTTTATTTTCCTACTCTGTCATAAGTTTATCTGGTATTACATATTCTGCTGGTGATTGACTTATAAAATATCTAAATCTACCATCAACAGAAAATTAACCAATACTGCAAATGAAATCCAACTAAGAATGGATGTATATTCAAACTACGTCACTAATTTGTGGTTATTTTTTTCTCTTGAAATTTCTGACAATATATTTGTTAAATGGTTATCAACAAATGAAATCATTCCTTCTCAAGTTGTGTCTGTAGATCATAACTAACAGTTTATTGAATAACATTTTTCAACGAATTTAAGCCTAATGGAGACGAACTTCATTTTTTTCTGACAGAAATTGATACATGAAAAGAGCGATATTGATTTTCAAGCTTACTTGGTATCTTTTTCAAGTTGGTATTCATCATGAACTAACATGAGTTGGAGGCAAGCTGGGAACTGGGATTACTAAACAGTTGTTTCGTCCTAGTATGAGACTCTTCAACAGTGCTCAGCCATGACCCGTCCCACCACGGATAGAACTAATGATCTTCAGCTTGCGTGGCCAGCGCGTTAGCATTGAGCCATTAGGTCAGAATCCAATGGTCCATATTTCCATCTTCTGTCAGTTCGTTGTTGATCATTTGTTCTCACAGCAACTAGATTTGCCCCATGGGTGAAGACTTCTCATTAGAAGTTCAGGAATCACCTCTTGACGATAGTCACCAATGAGCACTGGATCAACTAAATATGGTGGTTTGTAGGAATTTAATGATTCTTCAAGTTGATCCCATACATGAACGAAACAGATGTCCAGTGCTTCTAGGTTTCTAATGTTCCTCCAACTGATGTCAGTCCATGATGAATATCAACTTAAAAAATCACTGAATCCTCACAAATTCCTTAATTCCATTACTTGGTATCATTTTGATTGCCATCAGTTTGTTTGGTACATTAAAGATTAATACTGAATTCAATGATCATGTAAGATTGTGACTATAAAATGAACTTTTGTGAAGTCAGTAATATTTATCTGATTATTAAAGAACAAAGTGACTGCCTTGACTTGTTTTGTCCTAGCATATTCTTAGTTAAATGAAGAAATTTAGACTTACTTATATAACAATAAATTACTGTTGAATGTAACTTAGTGTCAACTTCTTCGTTACTCATATGAATTCTGGTTCCAATATCTTTTACATACCATAAACATCAGTTTTCTTTTTTACTAATCATACTTTCCCTTGAGTTTTACACATTTTATACTTTTAAAAATGTACTGTAATGCATTTTTATAAAATAATACTTTAGAGAAACATTTTACTTTGAATAATCTACACTGCTATCGTGTATTTAAAACTCATCAATAAAAAAAACATATATCTAAGTATCTTGCTGTTCACTACTCATTAAAAAAAGGTTTGTTTGTAATCTTGAGCCAAGTCAAACTCTTTTAAAAAATATGGTCTATATCACAGTGCAGAGATCAGATGTCTCATCAGGAACTTCTTAAGGCAACCAATGGTCCTAATATAAATCATCCATCAGCTCGTATGTTTCTGAAAAAGTGGAGATTATTTGTAGAACAGGTGAATGGTGTTGGTTGTATTGTTTTCTCTGACCTGGATTGTTTAACTATGAAGCTTTCATCGTCTTTCTAAACAATATCATCAGCATTAACTTCATACTGAAGTTGTCGTTTAGAAAGACGATGAAAGCTTGATGATTGAAAAATCTAGATCAGAGAAAACAATACAACCAAGATATACAAGCATTTATCATCAACAACGGTTCACAGATGTTTCTTCCCTCTTCAATGAATGGTTTAGTCACATAGCTGATTGAGGGATTCATTTGACACTAAATAATTGACAGCTATATTATTTGCTGTCTTTGTGATTGTGTTTATGATTTCGATTCATTCAGTTTTTTGGATGTGTTGACCATTGCAGTTAAATTCAACTGGTGTTCTCGTAAAAAAGTTAGATTTATGAAAGACATTTAGTTTTCATTTTAGAGGTTTCTAGGGATTTATTGATTGATTTCAACTTGATATTCATCATGAATTGGCATCACTCAGAGAAGGACGAAACAGCTGTCCAGTACTCCCACATTCTCAATGGTTCCCCAACTCATGTCATTCCATGATGAATACTACCTCTAAGTTAAACATCCTCATTCATCTCAAAAATGCATTACACTATATAGTGCTCATTACTGACTTGCTTCCAGATGGATATCAGGAAGCTCTAATGAGAAGCCGTGACCTATGGAGTCAACCAGTCAGATGTGAAGTGGATGCTAACTGAAGACCTTGGGTGATAGTCACGCTATATGGTGAATTGACAGAAGTTGGAAATTGTGAACCAGTGAGAACCGACTCAGTGGTTGAATGGTTAACGCGTTCGTCGTGAAACCTGAAGGTGTTGAGTCCGATGCCTAGCCGGGTCATGAGTGCGTACTACTGAGGAGCCCCATACTAGGATGGAACGGTTGTCCAGTGCTCCCAGATTTTCAGTGGTTCTCCAACTGATGTCAGTCCATGATGAATACTACTTCTAAATTAAAAATCCCCATTCATCTCAATTAATACACTCTTTAGAGAACTGTTGGGAACCTGGAAGCACTGGACAGCTGTTTCGTCTCAGTACGCACCTATGACCACGTCCCATCATGGATCGAACCCGCTGTCTCCAGGTTCAGCGGCCAACACGTTACCATTGAGTCTCTGGATCAGGATCCAGTGGTCCACATTTCCTACTTCTATCAGTTCCTAATATAGTGCGACCTTTGTCCATTGTCGTAGTTGAGTAACTTTTCTCAGGTCAGACTTGGTTGACTTCACTGGTCACAATTTATGATACAACTTCGGGAATCTAATCTTGAAGCAAGTGGCCTCAGGTTTCCAATAGTTCTTGAACTGATGTCAGTTCACGATGAATATCAGTGTGAAGACAAATAATTTTACCACAGTTCTGAAAAATACAAGTGGTATTGTGAATATAATTATTGTGTAGAACATTAGTTAATCTTCAAGGTTTCTTGTAAACATAAAGTATGCCAGGAAGAAACTCATTATTAAACATATTGATATATTCAAGGAATATTACATCCAGAGTGTCTTGAAACACTGTGGAGTTATCACAGAATTGCAAGACTAAAAAAGTTTATAACATGCTTTTGAAAATGCCACTAAGATTCGTCTAGCACTGACTTACTGTTTGAGATTTCAAATTATTAAAAATATTTTTTTTCATTTCACAGATCTGCCAACAATTCTAAATAGACAAGCTTCAGTTCGTGAACTTATATCTTCACCTGATACCCTATTTAATATACAGGTAGGTGTATCATACAGTTATTTACACTTTGAGTTGAATTTCTCTTTTTGACTGCTAAATGGAAAAACCTGGATAGTGAATTATCAATCATTTCTTGAACAGTAGGAAGTTTTAATTCAAGATGATAACAATGATTTCGATGTCATTGAAACAGTGAAATATTATTTATTGAAATAGTGGAGAATATTTATAGCTCAGGTGGATGGTCTTGGTTGTATTGTATTTTCTGAGCTGGGTTGTTTAATCGTGAAGATTTCATCGTCCTTCTAGACGACATCATCAGCACTAACTTCAGTATGAAGTGAGCTCATTTCATACTGAAGTTAGTGCTGATGATGTCGTCTAGAAGGACGATGAAAGCTTCACGATTAAACAACCCAGCTCAGAAAACACAATACAACCAAGATATTATTTATTGAAATGTTGAAATATTGTTGTATGATAATGCGGTTCACAGTTAAAATTTTCACAGACTTCATGAGACGATTACTCATAACCAGTTAAGTGTTATCATGAAGGATAGTGATATCTGTAAGTAACAATCATATTCCCATTCAGACATTTTAATCAAATTACCAATCATGTGGTTATGTTTTAGAAGTAATGATGTAAATAATCAATAGAGTAATTAAAATTGGTAGCAGGTTATTCTTAGGTAAATGGAGTGATTTTTAATGAATGTTCAGCCATTCACAATAATAGATTACGTAGTAATAAGAAAATAAATGAATACTGATAGAAACAACAAGGGGAAGAGGTGTACAAAGTAATACTAGAAGTCACATCTTGTTGACGGCCATTGGTAATGAAGGTGATCGAACAAACTTCTTTTTAATACAACGGTTAGGTTTGTAAAGGTGGATTGCAATCGCAAGTGAGTAATCAGTGTGGTGGTAATTTAATTGAAATCTGATGAATGATTTTGAAAGCTTTTCTAGAATCCACTTGATGTCCCATGTCAACTAGGTGTGCAAGTATGGAGCTCTTTATTGTCCTAATTTGTCACTTGCTCAACCATCATGGGTGGTGCTCAGAGATTCGACAATGGAACTGCCTCATTGTACGCCGAATGTAACTGGCTCCGTAGGAGCAGTTGGATTGATAAATGAACAGTAAAGTGGCAGAACCAGGCAGTTTGTCTTTATTTCGTGCAGCTAGAATCGCGCGGTTGTAGAAGATGGGACATAATTTAGCAGCTGGGAAGGTTTTATTCAAGACTTTTTTATGCACTGCGTGATGATCTCACTGGCAACGTCATTCTTGAACTTCAGCTTCAAAAAGATTTACTTCTTAGAAACTGTTGGCGTTCTTGTCTTGACCCACGTAATATTCACATGCTTAGTTACAAACCTGTCTGGTTAGCCATTCCTACTTAGCAGATCACGAATGATGGCGCACTCTTCCTTTATAGCATCCTCTGAGCAAATTGCTGTGGCACGGTATGCTAAGCATTTCACCAGGTTCCTTCAGTATTGGAGGGGTACACCACTAAAGAAGTGCATGTATTGACCTGTTGATGTTGACTTTCTATATACAATTCGCTTCAGGATTCCATCTAGCCTTCTTAACAACAGAACATCAAGAAATGGGATACTGTCATTTTGCTCCTCTTCCATTGTGAAGTTGATTGCCGAATGGACACTACTGAACTTATTCAGAACAGCATTCTTAACAATCTCACTTTTGAGAACTATATGATTCTAACCGGCTAATAGTCCCGTTCAGTGGACCATTCTCTAGTTTTGCCAGAAAAAATCTGATAAAAGCGGGCCAGCGGGTGACCCTTTAGCAACACCAGATTGCCTGTAGAGTTCATTGTTGAAAAGGAATTGTGTGTTCATCGTACACCCCAGAAGTATTTCTTTCAATACGGAAACTAGAATCTTTATTTCCATGTCCTGCTTCGTGATTTTGTTATAAATAAAGTCTACTGTCTTTATTAAAGGAACGTTAGTAAAAAGAGATGAAACATCACAAGATATCATTAACTTATTATCTACTTTCAGATCCTCAATCTTCCAATAAATTCAAAGGTATCTTTGAGACTATACTTCACAAATTCTTTATGGAGAGTCTTCAAAAACTGTACTAACCATTTTGCAGTTGTATGATACGATGAGTTTGTCACGTCGAGAACTGGTCGGAGAGGTAGACCGTTTTAATGCAGTTTTGGTAGACCATAAAGTTTAGGTGTAACGGTTCCAGTAGATTTGAACATTTCAAAATGCTTTCTGAAATGAAACCCTGTTGTTTTATTTTTTTCAGTGATTCGGTTAAATGTTTCTCGGTTTTCTCTGTCGTATCACTTTAAGCGACTAATTTCTGAAATTTACTTTCATCACTAAGTAAAGAATTCATTTTGTCTATGTAGTCTTTTTTTATCCATTAAAACTATTCCTGATCCTTTATCTCCCTTGGTAATCACGATATTTGCATTAGTTTTAAACTTTTTCAAGGCTTCTCTATGCTTTTTTTGTTAAAATACTCTTCATACCGTTCCTACTACTCGTGTACTTTAGGTAGGAGTCAATGAGTGTAATCTTCAGTCTATCAACATCACCAGATGATGGTACCTAACCTTCTGTCTATGTATACACGTTCTCAAACTGTATTTCTGTTTCCATCTTACTAATCTTATTACGACTATCAGAAAAGTTTGGTCCAAGTGACAAAATTTCTAACTTCATAGCATCAAGTTCAATACTAGGAAAATTCTGAACAAACTGACTAGGGTTAGTCGAGAATCTCATCCCTAGTTTTCAGTTTTCAAGAGTTTTGATCAACTTAATGCGCTTCTTTTCTTTCCATGCATTGACCACATTTGCCACATAACTCAAAAATTCCTGCTTTAAATTTTCTGGCAGTTCTTCTACAGCGTGGAATTTTTCTGTGACAGTTTTCATCATTTCAGAAGAATAAGATCTTAGTGAGTCAATCTGACTCACAGCATAACGTTTCAATGTTCTTGGATTGAACCGAACCCTGGAGCATCGCAAAGATTTCCAATATTCTTTGGGGTGATGAAATTTATAGTAACCTTCGCTTCACAGAGCCTTGTGCTGTGCTTCAGATACTCACTGAGAATCTTTAACGTGATTTGGGGCTCAGAAGATTTTAGTACATTGAAACAATCGTATTGCTTGTTAGTAAGGGACAGTAGCTAGCAGTAGAATTTAAAAAGCATATTTCGTTCTATCTGGAACTCATTAGTTAGATGTATCTGTCTTCATTGGGTGATCTGGTTTCCATGAAGACCAAGACCAATCGCCTTAAACGCTAGAGCATTATCTACCGGGTCACTTAGTCACAGTAGCCACTCTTTGTACGACAAGTATATTATAATCTTCGGTGTCATAGCTTGTGAATCATCATTGTTGGTTCGACCGAACTGATCAGCCACTGTGGATTTGTCCAACCAATGAGTCCCAAATAGGGTGAAACGTGCATCCTGGATTCAACTGCTAGTCATAACCCATCATTGACACGAGTTTTCAAAATGTCAGCAATTTTGAGGCATCTATACAGGACCTCATATACCAATAGTAGCGAATCGAACTGATTGAATCAACGACAAAGATTCACAAGCTGTAATACTAAAAACTATCCTTTTTCTTAGCTTAAATAATTTTTCTTTTTGTCTATTTACTGTTTATTGACTTAAAATCCATCTTAAATCACTTATTGATTCTTTTTTTGTCTCTTAGAATGTTTTACGCCAATTTCCTCACACTGACAATCTTTTATCATTGTGTGTTCAAATATGTTCATCATCAAGCATTTTCAATCAATACAACAATACTGATCAAAGTAACAATGAGACTCCTCAGATAAATGAAATAAATCATAACAAAATTAACAGTAAAACAGATCCATTTTCAAGAGACAAATCAGATGAACTGTTGATTAATACAAATAAAATCTGCACACAAATAATCAATAATGAATCCATTTTAATCAGTACAGTGAAAAAAAAGTCAACAGATTCATTATTTGATAAACCTATTAAAACTTCAACTTCAAATTCTATGTTTCCACCATTACAACCAACATCTTCATCATTTATAACACACAGTTCAGGAAAAGTATTTACTGGTAGAAATGAAGTATTCCTTATTAGAAGGCTGCTAGTATACAGGCAGCTGAATCACGAATTACAAAAGTTATAGCAATCAAGTATATGTTAGATCTTGTCAAATTGTTACATAATGCAATGGGTAATGTTAATTCTCCACTACTAAGAACATATAAAGAGGTAAATAAAACAAAGAAATTCTTTTTCTTTTTTTCTTTTTTGTAGAATGAAAATAAAATCTAAAGATACTCAGTGATAACTGAGCGTCTGGTAAGATTTGAATCAACAGTCTCTGAGTTAATGACCCTGTAATCTACCAACTGAATGAAAAGGCTTAGCTGTTTAACGGATCTTAAATTCATTTCAATCACTAGGTAATATCGGAAGTTACTCCCTGGAGAAACACTTTTAGAACTAGTAAATGAAGTGAAGTTGAGACATGTACGTCAAATACTCAAATTTTGTAAGATTATCTCGCGATTAAAAAAAGTAAATACAGAATCGTATTCTGTCAAGCAGGTATGTAGTCACTGAATAGCTGAAGTAGTTTCACATAGATGCAATCTTTATATATTTCTTAAGAACTATCTTCTTCTGAATAAATTTTAGCCTATCCATTTGATAAAAACAATGAACAAACGCATAAAGCTTGTGTCTAAATCTGTATCACTGACTGAAGTACCAAGTGACGCAGGTTTCAGTGTCATAAGGGACATCAGTTACTTCGACGTTGCAGATACGTCTAACTGACAAGTGCCAGGATGTATGAGAACTACTTTAGGCAGAACTTCTTACTCATTAACATCAATCAACTAGCATCCACCAGAAGTGCATAACAATGTTAAGCCTCCTAGGTTAGTGATCACACTACAGAATGATCTACTGAACTCGGTCAGCACTCAGAACTAGAAAACAAGAAATTAATTGCTCTTTGATGACCTGTCATCATACTTATTTTGCTCTCTTTGGGTTACTGATTAGGAATAAATATGTAGGCTGTACAAAGAATTCTGAATCCTTACGAGTGAGATACAACTGAGTTATAGCTATAAAAATGAGCCTGCGTAAAACTCTTTTTGTGTTCCCTTTAATTTCGTTGGCTGGATTTAAAACTATGATTTTATGGAATTCACATAAATGCACCTCTAACGTCGTCGCCTTGATGACCATCGTTTATTTTGCAAGTAACAGTCTTAAAATGTTTCCTTTGTTTGAGAACACAGAACTATAACAGTAAAAAACAACACCAAATCACTTTTACTCACTTACTTTTCTTTATACTATCAACATTGTTTGTTATTTTTAAGTAAAGGAGAGATACTTCATCAGAAAGTACTGAAAATGAAATGTGTTCAGTATTTCTCTAGGATTATGCCTTTCAGTATACGTGTTCTTTTCTCTACCATTTTTAGCTCTTACAAGATTCAGAATATGAGCAAGTACTACAAACTTTATGCACTGTATTGCATAAAGATGTACGATTGTCTAGGGGAATGTTAGCTATGAGAACACAGAAGTGTTTTGCAATCAAGGTACTTCATATATTTCATTAAAATTTATTTATTTACAATGGATTTCATTCAATATAGGAAGGCTTAAGTGTTGTATTGGATGTTACGCGTAAAGCTTATTCAGAACAACTTGATGACATTACAAGTAAGTCCTACCAAATGACTGAATAACTTTGTTTACTCGTAGTTATGAATTTTATGAGACATATTTGAAAATTCATCAATTTACCTTTCAAGTTGTTATTCATCGAAGATTGACATCAGTTGGAGGAACAAAGGGAACCTGGGAGCACTGGACAGCCAGCTGTCTCGTCCTAGTATGGGACTCCTCAGCAGTGCGCACCCACGACCCCACCAGCAGGGATCGATCCCGCGACCTTCAGGTTCCGCGGCCAGCGCGTTACCGTTGAGCCACTGTCACAACTCCCTCAAAATTTAATTTACCTTTCATGTTTTGATTTTGATGATGAGTATTATCCAGCTTACACAGTTTTGAATATAATCTTGAGATCAACGTGATCAGAAGTATTGTTTAAAGGATATGAGATTGAAATAAGCGTCTCTTTGTTACCTTGGTAAAAGCGTATTTGCCTGTCTACCATATTACACTTTAAATACTTATATTAACTGGGAATTAAGGTACACTATCCCAGAAAACGAATTTGTTCCAGAAGAAACCCACGATAACTGGGGTTTTACATTTCTCTCAGCGATTGGTTGAGTTTTATCTGTTTCTCTCCTGAGCATTATCATTTGTTGCTACTGTTTCTCAACACAAAAGAAGTTTCTTGATCAAAATCACAACTATTCATTACAAAAAGTAATGAGAAATCATACCTAGAACACGTTATAGCAATGATGGATAGTAGCTAACACTGGAATCCAAGATGCGCATTTCGTCCTATCTGGGACTCGTCAACTGTATGTACCTGCCCCCAGTGAGTGATGTAGGTCCCACCGTGATTTGAACTCAGGACCCATTGCTCCAAACGCCACAGCTTATCCACTGGACCACCAAGCAACCATGGCCACTTTTTATGCAACGGGAATAGTTTTAGTATTACTGCATGTATTATACCGTCGTTGAATGGACCGAATTGATCGGTCTCTATTGGCATATGGGCTCCTGCGCGGTTGCCTCAGTATTGTCTGTGTTTTAATTCTATATTGTAATGATTAACAGTGGCTATCAGGGAAATCCAAGATGCGCATTTCGTCCCATTTGGGACTCGTCAGGCAAAATCGAGGCGTCCACTCGGGAGCCTATATGCCAACAGAGAGCTATCAATTCAGTCCAATCAACGACGATATAATACAAGCAACAATAATAAAAATACTTTGTTTGAAACGGTCAACTTCTTTAATTGTGGGCTAAAGCTCATGTTTCGTTTTGCAAGTTACTTCAGCATTTTTTTGTTTCTTTCGGTGACTTATTTTTGTTCTGAAACGCATAACTCTGAGACTGATAGGTGCCATTAGTGTGAACTATTTGCAGCAATGAAAAACTTTAATTTCCCAGTGAATAAAGGTTTGTTAGGTCGTATGCTGTGTAGAATTCTAAAGAGACAAAATGAAGTCTTTTTCTCTTTTATTGCATTTACCGAAACATCTAATAGATAAGTGAATTATAAGATGATTTCGATTTATCCTTTTTATCCTTCAGTACTGTTTTTCATTATCAAGTAACACTGTTTTACTGTGGAGATATGTTTAGTTGGTTTGGGGAGATCGCTTTCAACCTATAGCTTACGACTTAAAAACAGTACTCCACCTACCGAAGTTTGGAGACCAGGTAATAGTAACATCAACAGCCTTCAGACAATAAATAAATGATGGCCTACCGGTTTCATGGAAGCCAATCCCGATTTCATCTGTTCAATTAAAGTATATTTGTGTCAAAATTATTTTTTAGATTGACGAGAAATGTGCTTTAAAGGATATATATATATATATATATATATATATATATATATATATATATTGTTGAATCGGTTGACAAGCCGATATAATCTATTTATATTACGCCGATCGTCTCAGTTATTAGACATGAAAGAAGGCCTCATTTTCGAATATAAAAAAGTAATAAGGAGGAAGAAGAAATGCAGATGCAGAAATTGATTGCAAGATAGTAACCAATGTAACAATGGAGTCCTGAGTTCTAACAGAAATCTACTTATTAAGGGTGAAATATGACCATCAAGTTACGTAACACCACGCTGCAGTGATTATTTTGTCATGTTAAATATTATGATTCATCAACAACGAATCAGTAGTGATCTAAATGACCCACTGCTAAACTCTTTAATATTCACACTAGTTTGATGCATGTTTCAATCGTCTTAGTAACATAAGTCTTCTGACCGTTTCGTATGTTTTTTTGATAAGCTGTGGCAAGCGTAAATCCTAGATAGTAGAATTTTTGCTAACTAAACCAGAATAAAAAGGGAAAAATATATTTCCATTTAACATAAATGTCTAGTATGTTATTTTTAAATCTATTCCTATTTTAGACCATTTCTATGGTATCACAGGAGTATAATAAATCATTTAGAAATGCTGTTTTAGGATGCCACATATTAATTTCATTTGAACTAGAGGAAGTACGGCGGTTGAATTATTCAGACTTGAAGTTTATTCCGGCCTATTCCCCAAGAAAAATTTGTGAAGAAAATTAATTTTAGGTGCTGTTACTACCAATATAACCGGTAGGCATTCTTATATGCATAAATTATTAGTTATAGTTATATAATATTCTCTCAGTTGGATTATTGAATCGTGCAGCTTTCATAGGTTCTCTAAATGATATCATCACCACTCCAAATACATATTAAAAGAACTATCGAGAAGACTGGCGAATTGCTTTCATTTTACATTGTATCGAATCATGTAATGTTTGATTATCTGTATTCTCTTCATTATTATCATCATCTATGTTGACTTCAAAACATTTAAAATAATTCTAATCCCGAAATATGCGTTGCAATTCGGTTTGCACATGATTTGTTCTTCCTGAATCCAGCCAGCCTTTTGGGGTAGTGGTTTTGAATGCAGAGCATTCTTTAGTCTCTCCAGAATGATGCAGCATAATATTTTGATTTTGGTGGACAGGAGCAGAAATTCTCTCCAATTCTTTAAAAGACTAACGTCGCCCTTCTTCTGGAGTTTGACAAAGTAGCCCTTCTTCCAGTCAATTGGCTGGTACCTTTCCTTTCTTCCTCACACGTTTTCAGGAACAGTGGTGTGAGCATGTCCGCCGTTGTCCCTGAGTCTGTTCTCAGTGCTTCTGGCGAGATTCAATTTGGTCCTGCTACTTTCTCGCATTTCAGTAGCATCATGGAGTTCAGGACATCGACTTTCGTCGGATGGCTTGTGTTCACTGGTAGTTCTGTAGCTGCAGGTGGTATTTCTGGACGAAATGCTTTTATTTTACATTGTATCAATCATGTAATGTTTGATTATCTGTATTTTCTTCATTATTATCATCATCTATGTTGACTTCAAAACAATTAAAATAATTCAAATCCCGAAATATGCTTCAGAGACACTCACATTTACACTTCATGCTTGAGAAAGATAAACAAACCCTTGAACTAGACATGATCATAAAATGACATCAGATCTTGTCATCAAATCTCGAAGCATCCTGACTTCAGTTTATGAGAAGAAACCAATTCATATTCATGGTTTATTAAAACTCTATTAATAGCAAAGCTATTCTCATCCTTTTACTGGAAAATGCATCTAAACAGATTGATATTCTTACACATTGTGATACAGGGAAATCTCATACACATAATCAAAATGATGAATGAAATCGAGTGGACCTGTCCTTCTTCGGTTCTATGGCACACCAAAACTACGAAAACCACATATGTCTGTCTCTACGATCAATAGTCTGACTTCCAGGAACTCCGAATCACAACACATCAAGAGAACTATCGACAAAACTGAAACACCTTCTTCAATCATACAAACATTCCACAATATCACCAACAGAATTCTTAGAAAACATCCAAAGTATTGGCATTGAAAACGACGAATTAATGGTATCCTTCAATGTCACAGCATTATACACATCCATCGAAACCCAGTTGGTCAGGGAAACTATGTCCCCCACCCCACTGATCAATGAAGACACAAGTCCTCCAGAACACACAAAACTCAAATGTTCAAATATCATAGAACTCATCAACATTTGCCTCACAACAGATGAAAGGAACTCTAATGCATTCACCAATATCCAGACTAATTGCACATCCAGTGATGCACAGACTGCAAACCATCAGTCTACCATTGATTAAATCGAAATTTCGGATTCGTCATGTAGACGATACTTTTGTCACCATTAAAAACAGTGATGTGAATAACACTCACAGTTTGATCAACAACATTTCCAATGATGTGGAATTCACAGTGGAGAAGGAGTCAACCAACCAACCACCATAGTCCTGGATGATTTAGTCAGTAGGACGAGTGATGAAAAGCTGAAAACTCAAGTGTACAGGAAGACAACACACACTCATCAAATCCTCAACCACATCAGCAACAACCCGACGATACACAAAATTAGTTGCACGCAGACTCTATTCACAAGAGCAGTACAACGACTTCACGGAGAAATGAAGATAATTACTTGCTATTCATCCTAAAATAGAACGACTACACAAGACACTTTATCAGAACATGCCTATCCCGTGCATCATCAACTACAAAGTCATCGACACAAATCAACAAACACATCACCCTACCGTACATTCAGAATATATCAGAAGTGATGACAAGATTGCTGACACCACTCGGTGGAATTGGTGTAGCTCATCAACCAACAAGTTCCCTCGAGACACTATTATGCAGACCAGAGGATGCAACAAGCAAAGAAGACAAAGCGAATATCATTTGGAAAATCAACTGCAACAACTGTAGTCAACAGTTGATTGGAAAGTGGTCACCCTCTTCGCCTTCCTCTGCATGAATTCCAGTTGGTTATTCACTGTCACGACATCTCATCACTCATTTCAATGCACCTGGATCACAATTATGGAGATGGATTCAATTTTGACAATGTCGAAATCTTGGAAGAAGGGAGGAAACGGAGAGAATATCAGAGAATTCCTAGAAGCTTGACATTCAGGTCAGTTAGTCAGTCAGCAATGACAATAGATGTGTAGACATAGATCGAATCTATTACTTGTAGAGGAAAGTGATAAATGACTGGAAGGTGAGAGTTGAAGTAGAGGAACAGCCAGCAGGAAAATCTATACAATGAGTCAATGACACAACAATCGAAGGGAAAAACCAATCACAGACCACAGCGTCAGAGCAAGCCACTAAATCACTCACTCACTCACTCAGTGACGGAGAGATATTGACAGCTTACTCACTTCATACTGAAGTTAGTGTTGATGATGTCGCTATCTAGAAAGACGATGAAAGCTTCACGATTAAAGAACCCAGTTGAGAGAACACAATATGGCGATGGCCATCCACGTGAGCTTCAAACGTTCTTCATTAGTACTTATCAATATCTTTGGTTTACCGTTACCTTGGGGTTAATTTAGGCAAAAATGAATTTTTCAACCTGACAAGTAGGCAGATTTTATAATTTTTATCAATACTGTTCGTTCTTGCCTAGAAGAAGTATCCATGTCTTTCTATAAACCAAAACAATTGTAGTATGTGCATTTCGCAATGAAATGTTGTTAAAAGTCAAGGGAACAGAGATTTTTTGCTTGTTTTTGAAAATTTGTGCTGTTGTTTCTGATTTTTGTTATATTAATCAAAGGAGACAAAATAAAATCTCTTCTTATATATGTTTTTTTCTTCAAAAGAAGAAGTTAGCAGACTTGCTGGTTTATATAATCTACCTCTACGAATATCCCACAATAAATCTCGTGGATTTTATATTCAAATACCTGAAAATACCCTCAAAGCTTATACAAAACCATCTTCATCTCAGATAGATTGTCATAGTTCATCATCTGCCAATGGTGTTGATTTCTGCAATGAAAATATATTTTTAGAAGAGGAGGATGAAGAAGCTAACCAAGAAATTATGCCAATGTGTACAACTAGCGAAAATAATATAAATAATAACACCTACAACATGAACCTTAGAACACCTAAACAAAATGATCCATTACTTCAAAATTTACCGGATGATTTCATAAAACCAGTCATTACAAAAGGCATTGTGCAATGTACAACAGATTTTCTTGTAAGTAATGTATTTGTTAAAAACAAGTGTAAGACTTGCAGACAGTTGCAGAATGTAATTCCATATAAGATTTTTTAGTTGTTATATGGCGCAAAGTGATATAGGATTACTTACTGTATGACATTTCGAGCGCAAATCACTTACTACTCATAATCATATCAATGTTATCACATTGCTTTTGATATCTTATTTTTATAGTCCTGTCACCTCATATTAACCTTTAGCTCAAATGAAATGAAAGTACTTGAAAAAGGACTTAACTCTAGCGTGATAGTAGACTATCTAAAACCCAAGGATGTCACGCCTAGCATAGAAGTAGCATTAGGTTCGGTGGATGTAGCAACTGCTGAACAGGTTAGGGTACAGTGTGCAATGACATTGAAAAAACAAAAGAAGAAGCAATGAAACTGAACAAAACTGGAATATTCAGCTCCGAATAATCTACGAAATGACAATAACATAGTAACTGCTAAATCTGATAAAGGCAATTCAAAAGTAGTTATAGACAAATTGGATTATGTAAACAAAATTTACGGGCATATCCAAACGGGACCATATAAAGACACATGGTCTATATTACAATTTAGAAATCCACCGCCGATCTGATACAACGACTAAAACCATCTTTAGGTAAGTCTAAATGGTTCAATCTAATGCCTAAAGCTAATAATCCTAACAGGATTTATGATACTTTCATGGTTCATAAACCAGGTTTTCCCATTAGACTCATAGTTGACTTCGGAAATGTACCAACATATGAACTACCGTAGTACTTGGCGTCGATATTGTGTCCTGTTAGGAACCGTTTAAATTTCAGACTAGTAAACTCTAACGAGTTAAAACTAAGGCTTAATGACCTACGTGTAGAAGAGGAAGAAAAAATGGTTAGTTTCGATATAACAAGTCTTTATATTAAAATATAAACCAATATGGCACTGGAAGCAGTCGGAAATCAACTAAATATTGACTCGAAACTTACAGAACTAAGATATCGCTTGATGAGATCATATTAGGAGTACAACTGTGCCTGACCTCCTCAGTCTTCAAGTTTCAGGACAAAATATATGAAGAAACAGGAGTAAAAATGGGATCGCGAATACCCCTAATAGCAACAGATATATTTATCGATAGTTGGGAATATATGGTGTTGCAAACGTTTAGTCCTGCACCTAGGATATGGTAATGATGTGTGAATGACACTTTCACAGTGTTGAAATCAGAAAATATCCATAATTTCCTCACACAAAATCTGTAGTAAGCGTAATCCAATTCACTCACAACGAAGTAGAAAATGAATAACGAGCGTTATTTATGTTAATTGCAGGATGAAATGAAGGACAGACAATGGTTTAGATACTATCGTCTACAGAAAACTGACACATTATAACAGGTATCTTGACTTCAGATCATCTCATCCAATATCACTCAATTAAGGTAGGTTTAGTCAAATGTCTAAGTGATAGAGCCAGAAAACTAACTAGTCATTGCAAGGACCTAAACAATGAACTGAAGCACATAAAAGAAGCACTAATAGTTAATAATTATTCATGGGAAAACATAAGAAACGAAATAATAACAGTAACACGAGAACGGATAATAACGATAACATGAGTAGAAAGGAGTTCACAACCTTCATTGTGTTACACTATAAGGAAGACACATCAGAACCTTAACGTAGAATCGTCAAAAAGGCTGGAAGTAGGGTAGCACTGAAACCTACAAGCTCACTGAGAGATAAGCTTTGTGGACTGACTTAGGGATCCGATTAAACCAATTCAGCAAAATAATCTAACCTATTAAATTCCCTGTAATGACTGTGAGGTCAAGTACATAGGTGGAACTAGCTGGTCGGAGTCAATCAGATTAGCGGAACATGGGAATTCAGCTAAATATAGAATGACAGATTTGAATAAGATCAATAATTTAGAGGCAAATCAGCTATTGTAATGGATTCATTAACACACAGTCACACAATAGGGTGAGATAAAATCCCCTGTACTTAAGTCCAATATAATTACGTGGATATTGTAAGAGATTGATCACTCAATCTTTGTTCATTGAACCAACACCCAGTCAATACATATAATAGGAGTGATGCAACATCGATACCACAGATATGGAAAATTCTACTACCATAAAAACAGAGATTAAGAGGTGACAGGACTATAAAAATTAGGTGTCGAGAAGAGTGTGATTACATTGATATGAATATGAGCAATAGGTAATTTCTGCTCAAAATGTCATCCATTAAGTAATTCTGTATAACCGTGCGCTATACATCAAATTAGTAAATCTTATATGGAATTAGTGTATGTGTTCTTTCAATACAGATATGATTTGAAGCAGTTGCCTTAAACAGGGTGAGAACAACAGCCTCAACAGAAAAGCGTGAACCTATTATATTTTTTTGGGTTTCTCATAAGCTGCTTGCGACTTAAACAGTTTTAACATCAAGTTGTGCAAAATATCTATATACTTGAATCAATTCGATAGAAATTTGTTGACCTGAATACAAAGTAAAACTGATGTTATGTAATTACAGACACACTAATTGTATGAACAAATATATAAGAAGTAATAATAACCTTGTCCTCAGGCCTTCATTAACCAGAAATCAGTGCGGAGATCTACGCACTCAAAATAAAGAACAAGATTCGGATTTTCAACACCAAGTCAACCAAGTCAGTGTTTCTGTGTGATGGTTCAGAAACTTGGCGCATCACGAAAAGCATTTGCAACAAACGACAGGCATTCATCAATAACTGCCTAGGCTCGATACTTAAGATGGAGATTAGATGGCCAGAATGATAAGAAAAAGCAACAAGTAACTCTGGCCTGGCAACGAACCAATCGAGAACCCATCGCCCGACAAACACGAAGATGGAAGTGGAAATGGATCGGGCATACACTAAGAAGACCATTCGGAGACATCACATGTCAGGCCAGGCCGTCGAGTGGAATTCAAATGGAAAAGGACGACTTGGGCGTCCCAGCTGTGGGTGACATGGAGGAGATCATGTGAGGAAGAAATGAAAGCTTCTGAGCATTCATGGAGCCAGGCTAAAAAGACTGCAGAGAAGAAAGCATGTGGCAGCCTTGTTTTACTCATGTCCACTGTCTTCACTTCCAGTGCAAATGCATCACTGAGCTGCCCATTGTGAAATACTAGGCATGTGGCATTCTCATATAGTTGTTGAATGATGTTGATGAAGGTTTGTGGTATTCTGTATTGTTGAAGCAGCAGTTTCCAAATTACTTCTCTGTCGAGGCTGTCAAAGGCCTTTTGAAAGTCGATGAAGTTGAGGTGGAGTTGAGTTGACTACCATTCTACACTCTGTTCTATGATGATGCGTAGCGTAGTCTTTCAGTTCCATGCGTACATGATTTGTTCTTCCTGAATCCAGCCAGCCTGTTGGGGTTGTAGTTTTGAATGCAGCGCATCCTTTAGTCTCTCCAGAATGATGCTGCACAATATTTTGCTTTTAGTGGACAGGAGCATGATTCCTCTTCGGAATGTATATGTTCAGTTTTAATCACTGAAAGGTTAGTGCTTCAGAGAAAGGTGACAAATTTGAGTTCACGTGTTAGCTAATTATCTTAAACGATTCTTGGATATGAACTTTATGTCCACTATCAACGAGGTGACGAACAATAGTATTATTAGAGACTTTTCCACCTCTCAGTCGCAAATTTTTTGGAATATGCTCAGAAATGCAGTCATTAACCCTTCTTTCTGATTATTTAACGCATTTATTTTGGTACTTAAATGTAAGTTGATGCAAGCAGTTGGAGGTAACGTGAAGAGGAGATTATTATTTCAACTTATTTTAAGTTTGATTTCATCCGTGTATTAATGTAAGTAACTTAATAAACGACTATTGTAAAGCATTACATACATATTTTCCCGTTTTGCATAATATACACATAAACCAAATGCAATAAATTTATGAATGTACACTGGACACAATCCTTATGTTAAATACACACATATAGTACTTAATAAGGTGTATTTATTTAGTGTAAGAACAGTGAAAAATGAGATTGTTTAAATGTTACAGGGAAACTGCAAATTGAACTGAAAAGTCATGATAACAGCAATCTGACCAGTTTCCAAGATCATGAATAAATATTTGTCAAGCGTTTAAAGATTCATATAATCATAATAAAATTAATCTGAAAGAAAAATATTATTTTAACATAAATTAATGGGATGTTCTACACTCATTAAGTGCAATTGTACATCATGAAACAGGTCAAGTTTGAAGCGAATACTTTTTCAGCATAGGATAAGAGATACGTACTGTAATGAAATCTATTTTTCTGGGTGCACAAGGGCAAAACTCTTTATCCCTTTTTTACTTCATCTTATTCAAAGTCAAGGAAGTAAATGTTTTTGTATCCGAAGGCTCACCTGCACGCACAAGGCATCAAATAGATACTAGAATCATCAATGCTTGGTCAGCATAGCTGAGGCATTTGCAGTAAAACTCAGCCTGAACTTTGCATTCAGTAAGAACATGTTGAGACGTTATTCTTTACTTGATCTTCAATAAACTAAGGGCCATTCCTGTCTTCATTATTTTCTGTCTTTTTCTAACCTGATATTCTTCATATGTATAAGAGTTATCTTAATAGTTACAAATCTAAGAAGGAAAATTGGCTTCCATACAGTCCCTAACTCTCATTCCACTTGGTGAATGTATTCGTATCAAACTTGGCCTGTTTCATGATGTACAATTGCATTTTATAATGGTAGAACCCGATGAAAACTTGTCACAATGAGTATTATTCGTTCAAATATTTATCAAATGAAAAGATGACTGAGGTGTATTTACTATCTTTTACCTAGTAAACATTTGTTGTATATAATTTTAATATGAAATGTTATTGTGATGATACTTTTAACTTCCCGTTGTTATAAAGAGTCCAACTGCTCGACCTCTGTAGGCAGATGGGCTCCTATACGGGTGCTTAGATACTGACGGTTGCTTCAGATGTCA